AATAGAAATATCTCTGAGTCTGAAATAAACCTCAAGTACAATAAGTCAAATAAAGTATCACTATGGCTCTCAGCCTCAACAAAATAAAATGCAAGTCTAGAGTCTGAATATAAACAACTAACTATGGAGTTCTGTAATAACTACTAAAATAATAAATAGCTTAGATGTAATCTATGAAGAAATCCCATCACTGCGACTCTCCGTGCGCCAAACTCGCTGCCTAAAAAGGGGGAAAACAACGAGCGTCAAAGAGCTATAGCGAGATCATCTCCACCTCTCCCTAGGGGAAGGGGGAGAATGAGCGTCAAAGCGCTATAGCGAGATCATCTCCACCTCTCCCTAGGGGAAGGGGTAGGAATATATAGAAAATACAGACAGTATATAAGTATAAAATCATTCATATAAATCTAACTGGAGATTAGTATTTAGGAATCCACAACACGAGAGTTAGTACGTCGAGCGAAATAATCCAAACAAGGAAACCCTCATGTATATACTATATCTCAAATTGTGACTCCCTAAATACTGATTCCAAACTCTATGAATGAAAAACAACAAACAAAAAGGTAACACTCCAAACCTCAAACCTGTAGAACAAATATCTCATCCCGATCTACACTCAGGTAGACAGATCTAATATAAGAGAAACTCATCCAAAACAAAGATTAACCACAAGCCCTGTCGTGTAAGCCACGATCTCAGAGAAAACACCCTACTTACGGATATTCAAAATGGAAGCAAAACTATAATTTATAATACTTATAAGTGTGCATCTCATGTGCATTAGCGATACTCTTGTAATATTCTTACTCAATCGCTCTATGGCAATAGGTTTTATCTCCCTATCCCGGATACATGAAATGACGATACTTTTGTAATGTTTTTACTTAATCGCCCTGTAAAAATGGGTTTTATCTCCCCATTCCGGATACATAATATGACGATACTTTTGTAATATTCTTACTCAATTTCCCTACGAAAATAGGTTTCATCTCCCTATTTCAGAAATAAGAAATTACTATACTCTTCATATTTATCAACTTAAATTAGGACAAAGTTATGTCTACACAACATATTCTAAACATACGTGCACATGTCTCAGTGTGCGTGTCCATATCTGGTGTTTACTAACATCTCGAGTGTTAAACAACCTATAAACATTGTATTATAGCAGTACAAGGTCGAGAGACTCGCTCGAAAACCAAAACAATTGAACATCCGGTTGTGTGTTGTGTTCACACCGTGTTTAGGTGATTCAAACATGATTAAAACAATATGAATCTTGCATGGAAACATGTCAACAGTAGATAAAAACTTCTGGGAGCAACATAATATATAATATATGATTATGTGCATAAAAATTCATATTTAAAACCCTAAAACATGCATAAGAACTTGAAACAAAGAACAATTCATCTTTCTTTAGATTAAACAACTTTTAAATCATTTTTAGATCTTAAATATCTTCTGTAAATTCATTCTCAAACCTTTTCACATGGAAAGAACTAGTCTTTATACATATAATACAAAAGAATTGACTTTTATTCCACTACAAGAAATTACGTCTTTAACGAAGGGATTTCCCTTCGTTAAAGAGCTGAAAACCTTCGTTATTGTATGCTAACGACGGGGAAAAATCCCTTCGTCACCCGTTGTTGAAGCCCTCTTCGCTAAAGGGTCACGAAGGGATATACTACCCGTCGTTATAGAGTCTATAACGACGGAACATATTACCGTCATTAATATTTACTACGGTAATTATCACCGTCGTTACCATCAGTAACGGGGATATTTTCCCGTCGTTACCATCAGTGACGGGATATTTTCCCGTCGTTACCGTTAGTTACGGGGATATTTTCCCGTCGTTACCATTAGTTACGGGGATATTTTCCCATCGTTGAAGACTAATTAATGACGGTTGGATACCGTCGTAAAAGTCCTCATAATGGGTAATTAGTAACCCATCAACGACGGTGCTTTCCCTTCGTTGATGAACAAAATACGGTTTATAAAACCGTCATTATAGACTACAAATTTCTAATATACATCAATAATAATTTTTTCATTCATAGGCAACTATCATATTATTCTCAATCTGACATTAAGATTCACAACAAAAATATATTAAAAATACCCAATAATGAATAAGAGGGAAAACAAAAAATTCCATTCATTAATAACATCAATAAATAAAATTACACCATCCTCAAATATTCAATACTAATAACAAGAGTTAATATCCTAATCGTTCCAAAGAAAAATACATGAAACTATCTAAAACTAATTAAAATAAAAGTTTGTGGAAGACACATTCTTTCATCTCTAATCATCGTCAAATTAAAGAAGACTCGAGCTACCCCCCTCCTAATCTTGCATGGATAGCCTGAAAAATTTTAAAAAATCACATAATTAAGAAATATTAATGAAGCAAATATTATCTTATTAAGTAAAAATCATATTTTTTTAGTGCAAGTAGTCAATCATAAAAGTATATAAGAGATTTTACAAAAAATAATTACCTAGTCCTGCACATGTTCTCGAGTTTGAGGAGTTAATGAAGGTGATTGCCTAAAAAAAAGTTCTTGCATAGCTTTCACTTGTGACTCCAACTCAGACATCCTTTGTTGTTGTTGCTCCTGCTCATCTAAGCGTTGTTGAAGCATCTGGTTCTTTCTCTTTTCTTCTATAACCCGTGCTTCCAGATCAGATCGACTAGGGAGCGGTCCTCTCAAATCTTTCAAAGTAGTCCCGCCACCAAATACAATGATGTGACCATGAGATTGTTTCCCCCAGATTTTCTCAACTATCTCAATGTCAGAAAGTGAAGGGTTTGCTTGTTTGACTTGAACAATTTCATCCTATAAAAATTAAATTCGTATGTTAGTACTATATAATGCATCATTATCAAACTTAAACACATATTCTACTTACATATTTATCTTGATCCCCATTTTCTAGTGTTTCATTAGCTTTCTTTCGAGTTTCATGAAACATTTTTGCCACATCAGGTGGATTTCCTGACTTGCCACCCTTATTCAAATATTAAATACAAATGAGTACAACATCAAACTCAAAAACAAAGTAGTTATAAATAAATAGGAAATTAGTTTTGAATGTATACCAATTCCCACGCAATTTGTCTAAAGGATTTGCTGCCCGTGTGGTGGAGCATCTTTCGTTTGCCTCTGTTAAGTGTATTTTGTTGGCTTGCTTTCTATACATCAAGATTAAAAGATAATTTTAACAATCCAACAATATACATGAAAGAAATTAATTAATAAAATTAGGAGATTAATACCTGGAATTTTGAAGAAAAATAATGTTCCTTAACTAGCCAATCCCAGTCATCAACACTCACTTCTGTAGGTTTATTTCTAAGTGCAACTTGCAATGAATTTTCTTTCACATATTTCCTGTGCATGTCACCACGCCACTTATTCCACAAATCGCGCAAGTGTCTCATTACTGACTCTCTCTTTTGCTCCATGTCATCAGCATCAAATTTATCCTATATCAAATTTGAATCAAAATTTAATTTATAAGAATTAAAAACCAATTGTAAAAAATTAATTTTCAATGTACCTTAATGGATGCCCACATATGATCTTTATTTTGCTGTGGTATTTTGGCCCAATTCTCAACAGCTACTGGGCAAATATTTCTATCTCGAATAATAATTCCAAGATATCGTGAAAATTCTGGTTCAATAGCTCTATTCTGATAAAAAGTAATGATTTTTTTCTCCCCATGTGACAAATTATTCAACTTTAGACACTTATTACTACCACGAGGTGGATTTTTCTTCCTTTGAGAATTATCAGCTGCATACATCATATCATATGTTAGAAACAAGATATAGTTAAAGAAATTGATAAAAATATTTCTTCTTGTAATTAATAAAGAATATACCTTCTTGTCGAGATTCATTTAGTATTGCATCATCACTTTGCACTCGATGATTATCTGATTCTGCAAAAATTGAGCAATTATTAATCCAATCATAAAAAATAAATTGAAAGATAAAAACAAATAATAATAAATTTTAAGTCTCATCAACCTGCAGAATCATCATTCTCTTCATTGTTAGTATTTGCACTTCTCCTGCGATTTTGTGCAAAATTCTCCTCTTCAAAGTTTTCTGAATCAGCGCTAAAATTTGCATCCATATTTTGATCTTGTGTTGGATTTTGAATATTCAAGTTCATGTCATGACAAGTACGGAGTTGTTCCCTTCTTAATGAATTTTCTGCAATTGCTTGAAGTCGCTTCCTAATTAATGACCTGGGTGCTAGAAATTGTGCCTTTTTGCTTTTGGAAGTGACTTCTTGAGTTTTCATTTTCCTGCTATGAAAAGGAATTTAAGTATTACACACTATGTATGAAACAAATATCAAAAGAGAAATGAATAAAAGAAGAAGATATCACGAAGGACAAGCATAACAATAAATACATAATACACTAATGTAGAAGCACTTGCTGCAATGTCAAAGCCACATCCAAAATATGAAGAAAAGAACATCATATGTCTAAAAAAGGAATAGTTATAGTGAAGATACAACTTAAATTTTATCTCAATAACACAATATCATTTGTGTTCTATTCTTTAATTAAAGCGTTCTAATTCTCTGCTTGAGTCTTTTTCCTCTTTTTTGAAGTTGAGACCGAATTTACAATAATTGGATCAATATCACTCCTTCTCAAATTGATATAATCATCTTCCAATGATGTTGATGCAATAGCCTGAGCATCAAATGATTCATCTTGCAAATAAGCTTCAACTCCATCGTCTGTTATCTCACAATCATCTGTATCTGGTGGCATATCATAGGAATCACGGGGTTGTGCTTTAAGAACTACATGCCAACCTTCATTGGCAATATCCTCAACATAAAAAACTTGTGATGCTTGGCCAGCAAGTATAAAGTGGTCATTCGTCTTTAGCAAGTGTCGGCAGTTAATACTGATAAATCCATATTTGTCTTCTTTCAAAGCGGTCCCTTTTCCTTTGCCGTGCACATCCCACCATTTACAACGAAATAGAACAACCTTTCTTCTACCAGGATACTCTAATTCGACAACTTCAACCAAAGCACCATAATAATCTATATCTCCACCATCACCAGCATCACCAACAACTGCAACCCCACTACTTTGAGTTGACAAACAATTATCTCGACTTTCTGTATGAAATCGATGTCCATTTATGACAAATCCAGTAAAACATTTAACAATCTTACTTGGACCACGAGATAGTGAAAGTAAGTCATCATCTTCTCGATAACTCTGATAAACCTAAACAAAACCAAAATATGATCAAGTCATGGAACATGTAATAAAATGAACCAATCAAGATATTTAAAAAATAAGGCAAGATATATACGTACTAGAGCTTGGAACCACTCGATAAAGTTCTTATCCCAATCTTTATCATCATAGTGATTTGTGGGTTCTCTCACGAATTCATTGTAGTCCCTACATTAAAATATCATAAATATGATTAACATTGATTAACTATAGTAAATTTATTAATAGAATCTTAAACTTTAGTGACTTACTCAATGTGTGGTTGCACTTCATCACAGTTCTTTAGAACATAAATATGAGCTTGCAACCACTCACGTTCATCAAGGTAGCGGGTGGTAGCAGCACCCAATGCGCGTCCACTATGTCTGAAAATAGATAGTTGTGCCTCATGACATTCTCTATTGCCATCTTCATAATTTCTTTCAAGGCGATTAAACTTTGTCTCGAAGCCTTTTAGATATCTTGAGCAAAAAGTCATGCATTCATCTGCTATATATCCTTCAGCAATTGACCCTTCTGGACGTGCCCTATTTCTGATATATGACTTATAAGTATAAAGCTAACGCTCTATTGGGTACATCCATCGAAATCGAACAGGCCCTCCAAGTATGGCTTCAGATGCTAAATGAACTACTAAATG